CCCCAAAACCCCAAAACCCCAAAACCCCAAAACCCCTATAACAAATTTTTCAATTGAAGACGAAATTTTAGAGATGAGTTCTTTCTTGTATCATTTCTTTTCATGTAAGGCAAGATCTTTCCTTTGATCCTTTGAGGAGGACTGAGAATTTGCTGCAGTTGCCACAGAATATTTTACCACAAATTCTGCAGTGGTGTTTTCTGGAGAGCAGCCAAAATTTAGTGCCTCATTTTGTGCAATTGGTAATATCTTTATCATCTTCCCACTCTGAGGATAGGCAATCTTTTGTACTTTGTGAGCTATTTACAAGCTTTTGATTAAATGATTTGTGTCTGCTGTGAGTAGATATTTTTTCTATTTATTATAAATAAAAGCTTACCATTTACTTTATTCTTCCCTGTGGTTAAATAGCCTGATTTATCATAAACTTCTTTCTCTCCGGTATCTTTACCAGTAAAAAGAATATTTCCAAAAGGAGTTTGATGAGAAATTGTGAAATACAAACCAGAAGGAGTGATGCATCTTTCTTTTAATTCTCCTAGATCTAACTGTTGTGAGTAATTTTCAAAATTCTCTGATTCCAACATTAAGTCGAGGTTGAGTCTCTTTGCCTTCTCGCTGAAAATATGTTATTTAAAAGATCTCGAAGAATTTCAAACAAAAAGAGTATTAAAATATAATTTTTCTAACTAATACCTCATAGAAAATAAGAAATAAATTTTTCTACCACCTTATCTCTTCCAGACTCTCCTCTCCCTGGTTCCTATTTTCCTTCAATTGATCTCTAAGTTGCTTGTGGGCCTGTAGAAGTTCCTCTATCTTTTGCTGAAGCATGCTACAGTTCTCTTCCAGGCTTAGAGGCTTACTCTGTTTACACTTTTTATCTACCTTAGAAGATTCATTGGAGAAAATGGTATTGGCATTTTTGGCGAAAATCTCATTTTCTGAACCAATAGAGACTTTATGGCGATGGATAGCTTTATGACTGGAGGCAATATTGTGGTCGATTCTTTTGACTATAAGTTCGACTTTATTTATTGTGGAGGTCAAGTATCTTTTTAGTGCTGGTATTTATGCTCTTTTCCTCTTCAAGTTTTGTAGAGAGCATATCTATTTCTAGTGACAATTGGGACTCTTTAATTCCAAACTCATTGTTCATATTTTGAATATCAACTTCAAGCTCCGATACAAGGTCCGATTGGTAGGTATATATTATTTTAGGAGTCCCTTTATAGGCTAGAGATATATAAGAGTATGAAAAGATTAGAACGGAGAAAAATAAACAACACTCACTTTGAGAAGTCATATTGCTAAGATTTTTTGATTTATGGGTAGCATTAGTCTTCTTCCTTCTAATTTGAGAATACTTTTCCCCTATCTCTTTATTTTTCAGCAATTTCTCCATAGCAATAGTCTTCTCAAGATCTTGACGAAGTGTAGCAGCCCTTCTATGCCCAAACTTCTTTCCTAAAGAATACTGAGATGTTTTTGATTGGCTATTCTTAGAATTCAGCGAAAAAGTCGATTCCATATATAAATTTTTAATTTGGTGACCAATTTATGATTTCATGACAGGGGTTTTGGGGTTTTGGGGTTTTGGGGTTTTGGGG